TCTTCTATTCTTAAGGAGTGCTTTGCTTATTCGGGGCTTTTTTTCCATTCCATACGAAATTGGAGATTGCCTTTTCCATCTCGTTGAAGAATGGGGTTATTGAGATTTCTGAAGAGTGGTAGTTTCAGCTGTTTATTAATGTGGTAATGAGAGAGTGGAGATGTAGACATGGCCAGAAGCAATAGAGATTGTGCTTTGGGTCATTTCTTCATATCCTATGACACTTCTACAAAGTGAACAATTAAATTTGTTTAAAGAACACATTTATTTTATCTCAGTTCTGGATGCTAGAAGTCTGAATCTCTTTCATCTTTTGGTAGCAAATTTGGTGTTTCTTGCCTTGTTGATGATACAGTTTTTATAACGTAATACTCAGAATTAAGACCCACCTTGCCCTCTGACAGTTCAAATCCACCAGCAGAAGAACGATGGACAGTGTCCTCTGAGACAATTTTCAGCCTCAGAATACCCCTTGAAGGGTTAGTGATGAGTCAATTCTGACTCCTTACCAATGAGGGAGAGATTGATTTCCAAACTTGGTGAGAGATACAGGATTACATAAAAGAAGAACACCCCCACAAAGTTATTTTCACAGGTAGAAGGATTTAGGACTTCAGTATATTTTCAGGGTGGGGAGCAATGAAATTCATAACAAGTAGTACTTTTACAGTTAGCTGAAAATGAAGGGTTAAAAAGAGCACAATAAAATAGTCATCAAGTATATATTCTTTGATTTCAGATCTCAAAACATAGTTTTAAGTTTACTTTCCAGGGGGTAAAGGAGTTCAACTTGTTAGTTATTTGAAATAGAATTTTTTTCCTGTTATACCAGGAGCTATAAATTCACATAAATATTTGAGAATTTTTACAGTTTGGAATAAAAATGTTAGAAGCACAAAGTTTCCCATGCTTTTATAAATCAGACAGTTGACTGAAAGTTAGTCCTAACTTCAGAAAAAAACCCTACGTAGCTTTAAGGGAAGAAATCATAAGCTATCATTCTGTTGAAAAAGTCTGATGTTTTTATATGGTTGTATAGTTCTATGTATATAGGGTAGGTAAATACATCTTATTTTTTGATGAGTGGATTTTTAATTTTTTGCACTTATGCATGAAACATGGAGGCTTGTAAACAGCATGTCTTGACACGTTAACATTTTTTATTCTTAGAGTAAAAATAAGGAGAATTCTAGTTGATTTGTTGTTGTTAAGTGCTATCCAGTCAACTATGACTTACAGCAACTCTGCAAACAACTAACAGATCCAAACTTTGCCTTATCCTACACCATCTTCTTAATCTCTGCCATGCTCAAGGCCACTCTTACAGTCCGTGTCAGTCCAGCTCCTTGAGAATCTTCCTCTCATTCTCTGTCCCCTCATAACAGTATGCCAGAAGTATGTGAGATGAAGTTTTATCCTCCCTGTCTCTAAGGTGTGCCTTAGTTGGACTTCCTCTAAGACCGATCTGTTCATTCTTTTGTCAGTCCATAGTATAGTTGGTGCTCTTTGCCGTCACCACAGTTAAAGGCTTCGATTATTCTTTGGTCATCCTTATTCATAGCCCAATTTTCAGATGCATAGGAA